GGACGAGCATGGAGATTCCTTCCTCTAAGCTTCTTATATTCTATATTTGCACTTGTAGAATGAGATCATGGGCACTTTCCGAAAATACTAGTAACTTACAAGTCCAGGGGAAGCCAATTCGTATCAATATAGATATATTAGAGTATCCGTCAAAGAAATAGTTGCTTGTTTATTTCTTTTCTAGATGGCATGATGATGAGTTGCCTTCGTCTGCCACGATATATATATATATATATATATATATATATATATATATATATATATATATATATATATATATATATATATATATATATATAAACATATACATATTATAGTACAACCCAACCGCCAAGAAAGAAAAGGAAGTCAAGTGCCGTTAGAAAAATTACAAGAGACCAGTTTCTTTGGATTGACCATTATTTGCAACCAAAAAAAAAATTAATTACATTATAAATATGGTTTTAATTATTTTTTCATTTCATATATATTGCATCACAAAAATGCTATAGATTTATCCCAAAATTTAAGAAAGATCAGCAAGGGAGCATTGTAAGTGATTCCCAAGGAAAAATTATCAAGAGACAAGAGCACATTACAAGTGATTTCCTGAAGGGAGGTTTTTTTTTTTTTTTTTTTTTTTTTATCTCTCTACTATTTTTGTCCTCGACCCGAAACATTGAATACTAAGTAATCAAAAAATTACTAATATCCAAATGCTTATTTTCATTTTCCAACAAATTTGGTGTTTATGAGGCTTCAACTTGTATTTGGGTAAGCAGCATATGGCCTCAATTTTATTGTTACGGGCAAACACATGTTTAAACGTTTGAGATTAATATCTTCCATTGACGTATTTGTAAGAAAATTATTTGGTCAGCGGAATGAGCAAACAATTTCGTATTGTTCTTGCTTGAATTTGCAAATTGATTCAGGCCTTGATATTACAAAACAAATAAATACTTACTTGTTTAGATGAATATGCAGTGCCTGATGTAGATGTTCGAATTCCAGCAATTAGCCTTCCACACATTAGGCCTCTAGTTTGTCCACACAGACTCAAACTAATAGATTACTGAATTTTGGAGTTTTGTCTTTTGTAGAAAAGAAATAGCGGTACTGCTTTCTTTCCTTTTCAAAAGGAACAACCGTAATTGTTTGTCACCCTTCTTTTTGGGACCCTTTGCAACTTTTGTCAATAGGGTTTATTTATACAGTTGTTTTGATTAGATCAATATCTTATATTATCCTGATCAAATCAATATAACACAACTCATATGATTATCCAATCCATACTTGGTTCTTATCTTGATCAAATCAAAACAACCGATTTATATTTTATTTTTATCTTGATCAAATCAAAATAGAATACAATTAATACAATTATCTAATTCATGTTTTAATTTTGATCACATCAAAATATAAACACAATTATTATAACTATATTAACTATTATTTTCATCTTTATAATATTTGAGTCATACTCAAATACCAACTCCAAATTCCGTCTAGCTTGGGTTTCAAGATGTGCTAGCATCCTTACCAAAGTATAAACCCATTCTAATCAACTTCCCTATTAGTTCAAATCCTTTTGTGTGTGACTATCTAGGTTCATTACCCAGTTGGCAATATAATAAACGTTAACCTATTAACATTAGTTAGAACATTTTTAACACTTGAGAAGTTCTCCAAATATACCTCAAGTTACCATAGTTCATGAGTGATGCCTAGCAGCATATCATGACACCCAACTGGTGATGAAAGATTGGAATCCTTTTACATGAACCATGACTGCAATTGTTTTGCATAAAAATCCTTCTATTACTGTATCCCTATTGAGTCTAGTTTAGTAACAATGTCAAACTCAAATACTCAATCATATGACTTAATCTATCAAACCACTTGACTATAAAATTGATCATCTACATGAATCAGTTTGTCTTGGCCAAGAACTCCTTTAGTCAAGATTGATAGACTTCATAAGATATCAAACCATTTATTATGGAATAATAGATCCCATTTTGCATAAACACTTGACTTCATGCGTAACTAATTAGAGGTACCATATGCCAATACTCATCCGTGATTAGAACAAGTACTTTCTGCATTGATAGACTTTAACCACCTATGAATGAGCCAACCGTGTCATCTCAAGTCTAAGGATCACATGCACTATTGCAATCAATAATGAATCATTGACATTAATAAGCTAATGATTCATTATTTAAATTAGTCAGTGTTCAAGCCAACTTGTCACACAAGTGCCTCTCATATTTGTTCTAGTATCGCATACTTAATGGTACGAGACTCACCATTCTATCATCATTAATATCTCATATTAATCATAGAAAATTAAATATGAGACTAATCTTCCGGATTAATCTTGCCCAATTAATAATCCTATGATTAGGAACAATTTAATATTATTTGTACCAGTATTTTCCGTCACTCATATTCTCATCACATGAGAATGGAACCTTAACAAATAATAATGGACAACATTCAATCAAATCTAAACCAAGAATAATTGAATCAAGAAGTGCCATTTTATTTTAATCAAGACAATAATTATTAATGCTCTAGGGCACACTGCTAACAGTATTAGCATGTTAAGCTAGTATGTATGTGTATCTATGTGTGTGTGTGTGTGTGTGTATATATATATATATATAGAAAATTGTTTGAGATGTTGACTTTTACTTATATATAGTTGTCATGGTTCTCAAAATACATTAAAAAATCCAGTTTTTTTTGGTCTGTTATTTTGAAGAAGTAACTCTTTATGCACTAACAGTGCGGTAACCTTTTTACACTAGCAGCCATTAATATATGCCACATATATATTATTTAAATTTTAAATTTAAATTCATATTATATGGAATGATCTAAATATGTTAGTGTAAAAAAAATTTTACATTGACAGTGTATAAAAATTTACTATATTTTAAATGTATTACCATAAAGAGATGTGCACTCAAACTAGTGAAAGAGTTTCTTTTTTTTTTTTAAAGATTAAAAATTGGATGACTTCATAGTCAATAGTAGCTGGAACTCAAACATTCTACTTTTAACATTTTTACCCTCACTTGAAAGTACATAAAAAAATTAATACTTACTTATTATCGAAAATGAATTGCATGTAATTAACTTTTTATATTATAAATTCCGTATATGGCTATGACATAAATATCTTCTGTCAGTTATTGACAAATAGGTTTAAGATTACACCATCATGTAACGCATTATGAACTAAATTATTTTATTAAAATTGTAATTTAATATTAGAGCGATTATTGCGTAAAAACATTTGTAGGCCCAGAAGACTGTATTGTTTTTTCTTTTTTTTTTCCAATAAAGGGTCCCACATAATGTATGACAAAAAAGGTGAGCATAATCACTTCCTTAATAATGGAGGAGAAAACAACAGATTAAAAAACGCAGATGTAAGCACGGAGTGAGAGGGTTGCGGGCTTATGGGAGGCTTGGGCGGGGGCGTTGATTGTTGACCTTAGTACTGTGGTCGTGTAATAAACTATAAAATGCCTGCAAGAAGTAAGCATGGATGCGAACATTTAATTGTTCGATGTTGACTATATATTCAAGACCACTCCTGTAATTTCTGCATTCAATCATTGCCATCACCTATTTTGGATTGTAAATTATTTGAAATAATTTTATAAAAAAATATTGTAGCACTTTTTTTATATGATATATGTGAGATGAAAAGATGATTGAAAAATGTGTTGATAATGCAAGCAAATTAGTGTGTAAATAAGGTGTAAATAAAGTGGAATAATTAACGATCCAAACACACTCATTAATGTTAGGAAAATGTTGGATTGGCTGGCTGGTAAAATTAGGAGATTTTGAATTTAAAACCTTTCACTTATTAAAAAAAATTCATGAGAACGAGGCCTTCCTTTTTCTCAAATAAAAAAAAGAAAAAAAAAATTAAAAAAAGGGTTAGAATTTGACGTTCAACATTACAACCTGCAGTTTTATTAATAAGTTAAGAGCTAGTAACCGAGGTAGGAATATGTTAGATGGTTCAAATGAGAGAATGTAAATGAAAGATTTTGAATTCAAACTCTTCCATTTTCACAATAAAAAAAAATGCTGAGAGTAGTGGGAATTTGCTATAATTAAACTCTCTGCACTTTATAAATGAATTCAATATTGAAGAGCACCATATCCGAAATAAGTTAGGTTCATGATTTTTTGGTCTGTAACTAGTGTATAACTTGATATTGCAACTCTTTTTTATTTTTGGGTAAATTCCACTTTACCCCCCTGTAGTTTAGCGTTTTTCACATAACCCCCCTATAGTTTCAAAAGCTATACATAACCCCCTCATGGTTTGGATTAAAGTGTCAAAGTAACAGAAATAGTCACTCATAACGGAACTTCTAAAAATGTCGAAATTACCCTTATAAATACATGACACATTAACCCCCTATGATTTTTATATTTTACCATATAACCCCTTTATGGTTTAATACTTTATCATATAACCCCCTTATGCTTTTCAAAATATACACATAACCCCCCTTGGTTAATACATAAATTTCAACCTTACATAAGGGTATTTTTGACATTTTAGGTGACGCCGTTACGAGTGACCATTTCCGTTACTTTGACACTTTAATCCAAACCATGAGGGGGTTATGTATAGCTTTTGAAACCACAGGGGGGTTATGTGAAAAAACGCTAAACCACAGGGGGGTAAAGTGGAGTTTGCCCTTTATTTTTTATGAATTCATATATCCAATAAAAAAATGTTAATGAATTCATGTATTCAATAATAAAAAAAATCTTTAACTTCACATATTCTGAGCGTAGTTCTTGGACTCGAGGACCTGATCAAATTTTTGCTATCACGGTATGCCATGCCAAATTGCAGTATTTTGCATTTAGTAATGCAGACAGGGACCTCAATATATTCCAAAGGTTTGCGTAGCTGGCTAGATGGGACTTCGTAATCAATATTAACTTTCTAGGAAAAAGATAAGCACAAAAGAACATTGAAGGATTGTAACCTCCGTAAATAGAGATAATTTATTTATAGAATTGAAAGAAATTCATTACATAAATATGCTATTCTGATTTTACTTGGTGAGAAGCACTTGAACCACCTTATCCAGATTCGAGTAAGAAGAACCACCCGAACTTTTAGCTGCTTCTTCAGCCTTGTTCTTCCACTCCAAGGCTTTTTTCTTCATGTCCTTTCCCTTTTCTCTAACCATCAACTCAGTCACAAGGCTCTCAACTTCGTCCCTCTTAACATTATTGTCTATCTCCAATCCATTGCCCCACTTGGTGCAGCAGAACCAGCAATTGGTTTGTTGTTCGGCGAAAAACGGCCAACAAATCATGGGCACCCCACTACAGATACTCTCGAGAGTTGAATTCCATCCGCTATGAGTTAAGAATCCTCCAATGGCAGGATGGCTGAGAACTTGTTCCTGAGGGCACCAGCTTGCTAGTAGGCCTCTATCTTTAGTTTCCTCCAAAAATTCAGGAGGAAGAATTGCAGAGGCGCCAGAGACAAGATCAGGCCTAATGATCCACAAAAATGTTTGTTTACTATTTGCAAGTCCCCATGCAAACTCCACAAGCTGGTCAGGAGTCATAACAGTGACGCTTCCAAAGTTTACATAGACAACAGAATTGGGATCCTTTGAATCAAGCCATTCTAGGCACTCGGGCTCTTCTTTCCAAAGATTTGACCCCACAACTGATAACCTCTCATCTTTTACCTCTTTCTGGAGAAGCTGTAGAGGCCCAATGGCGTAGATGGGAGGAAGGATGGCAGACAGAGCATTTATAACATCCTCTTCCAGCTCCTCAAATGTGTTCAAAATAATAGCTAAAGCCTTCTTGGCTCTCTCAGTCTCTTGCAGTACGAACTTTACAATGTAGTCATCCGGATTTGTAGTTCTTAAGAAACTTGGAAGATCTCTCAGACGTATATCTTTCATCCCGGGAATCCAATCCAAAGCTTGCTCAAGGTATCCATTTGACAAATAACTTGCATCTGTAATTGACAAGGATTCACAAGTTTAACTCGATTAAAAAATAAAAAAGAAGATACAGTAATTATTAATATCTTAAATGCCATCAAGCTAGTTGCCAAGGGGGTTATATTTTATCTATTTCGCAGTGCAGAAGTTCAGAAATCCAACTAGTGCTAAAAGTCTCTCTGACGAGAGCTCAAAGGAGAAATACCACAAAAAGTTCTTGGGCCTGAAGAGTACCTTTGAGTGGTATGAGACCCTTTTCTATGAGCTCAGCATAGTGCATATAACCCAAGAATCCACATGCACTAGGAGTCCAAAACAATATTTCTGGGACGCCTAGTTCTGCGGCAGCTTCAAGAGTAAAGCTCATGGCTCCATCAGAAACTATGCAAGAAACAGGGGGCACTTGTGATGAAGAGGGATCATTAAGTTCTGCAAGGAGATCTCTAAATGGACCTAAGCAATGAGTAGTGGTGGATTCACAAAGGGAGGGGACGTCTTGGGTGGCATCAACATCAGAAGGAGGAAGCCCATCAGGAATGGCTTTAAATTGGAAATCAGGCAAGCCATTGAGGGCATCAGGACCTCTAGACTTTAGCAAACGTTTGTGGTTGAATTCTGTGTTAACAAAGGTTATATGAAACCCTTTATGATGAAGGAGCTTGGCTAGTTTCAGCATAGGGTTTATGTGACCCTGTGCTGGATATGGAATACAAACAGCATGAGGCTTTTCTGGCAGCGAAATGGAAACCATTGCTTGTGTTTTTTTTCCCCTTCACTTTCTTTTGTTGTTGGAATGAGTTGTGATGCTTAAGCTTAAGCCCGCGGCTATCTATCCAAATTTATAGCGGCCGGAGCAATTTGTGAAAATTGAAAAAGCCAAATTTAGCATACGTAATAATCAACGAAATGAAGCAAAACCATTGGGAAACAAAATGGTATTCTGCCCCTTGTCGACATGGCAAAGCCAACCACACAGTATAGTACGGCTCCAACTTGAATTTGGGTGAATTACTGCAAATCCCCCTGTGATTTTGTCTATTGTTCATTTCTCCCCAAACATTTTAAAGTATTCACATAACCCATGTAGTTTAATTTATCAGTGAAGATTTGAAGAAAAGTAGCTTCCGTAATATCCCTAGTTGAAATGCTAGTATTGTCTTTATGTAGATACTAAACATGATTAGGGATAACCAATTTACATAATTTTTTAGGGATATTATGTAAATATATCCAAAGCAACAGAGCAGTTAAGTGGATAATGTAATCTTAGAAAAGGGGTTTTGAAACGGTCTAGGTCAATTGCTATAGCTTGAGTTGCTTTCATTTTTGTCACCCCACATAAAATTACAAAGAAATTTTGTATATATATTTTGAAACATCAGAAGATCGTGTGATAATATATAAAGCTATTATATTATACGAGTAGACTGTAATTTACCCACAATAAAGTCCAATCTCTCAACCGCTGGAAAATTAATTTCATCCTATGCAGGGACGAAATCTTAGGATATCCTACCTACACGGATCACACAATGGCAAAAAAAAATCTTAGGATGAAGACGTAAATGACGTCGAATTATTGCAGATCTGATCCGTGACAAGAAGGGTTATTGATGTGAACGTGAATTTGAGTCCAAGTGACATGACATGCTTTCTCATTTCCAGACTTGCATGCATGTTGACCAATACAATTAAGAATCCAAAACCAAAAGTTGATTTGTCACACATAGTTTAAGTGATCATGACAGAGAAAACCTTTTATTACTTTATCAATGTTCGAGCTTCATCCTTAAAACAAAATCTCTTAGGTTAATATGTATTTTGTCACTTCGAGGAAAGGTCTGAATTCAAAATCTTTCACTTTATAAAAAAAAAAAGACATCATTACTCTAAATTAATTTACGTACTCTTAGCAGCCTGCCCTATTTATGTATTTTTGTCAGAGTTATTGCAAAGCTATTGGGGGTTAATTGTCAAAGTCATTGATAAACTGACTAATGTCCATTTCTGAAAAGGAAGAATTTTACAGAGTTTGAATTTCTAAGGCGAGAAAGTTGAATTTGATAGTGGTGCTCTCAATAGAGACAGAAATAAGCATATTTTGGATTGACACGCAAAGTGGCTATAGTGTACGCAATCCGTTGAAATTGCAAATATCTACTATCTTCTTATTGAAATGGGATAATTGCAGAAACCTCCCCTGAGGTTTCTGACATTTGCACTGACCTCCCCTATAGTTTGAAAAATTACACTAACCTCCCCTGAGGTTACTAATCCTTTGCAAATTCAGTCCAAACTATTAAAATATTGTTTTAGGGAGTAAAATTAGAAGTTTTTACCAAATTTGTCCTTTGTACTACATGTCCAATGAATGACAAAATACTACAAATCAATTAACAATTAATAAATTTTGAGAAGTATAGTTTATAGGCAAATACGCATTACCTATTTAAAGTACCGGCTCTTTACGGGTATTTTACTTTCAAACATTTAATTTATGATAAATATATCAATATTTATAAGTAAAATTCAAAAAGTGTTACAGTAATATTCTTGCAAAAAGGAAATCGGTAGGTTATTTATTTAATATAAATTAAATATTTAAAAAAAATGGCCAATAAAGTATTAATTTTTTATGATTTCATCCATTACATGAGTAAAGTATTCGTTTTTTATGTATATTTTATTATGAATCATTTAATTTATGTTAAATACATAAATATTTATAACTAAAATTGAAAAAGTGTTATATTAATATTTTTACGGAAGAGAGATTGGTAGGTTTTGTATTTAACAAAAATTAAATATGTGAAAGTAAATACAAATATGTATTTGAGCGTAAATATTTGTATTAAATTAAATGTTTGAAAGTAAAATACCCGTAAAGAACCGATACTTTAAATAGTTACCGATTCTTTATGGGCAAACACGCATTACTTATTTAAATAACTGGCTTTTTACAAGTATTTTACTTTCAAACATTTAATTTATAATAAACATATCAATGTTTGTAAGTAAAATTCAAAATGTGTTACAGTAATATTCTTGTAAAAAGGAAATCGATAGGTTATTTATTTAATATAAATTAAATATTTTTTTTAAAAAAGAAATGACTCATAAAGTATTGGCTCTTTATGGGCATTTTATTTTGAATCATTTAATTTATGTTAAATACATAAATGTTTATAACTAAAATTGAAAAAGTGTTATATTAATATTTTTACGGAACAGAGATTGGTAGTTTTTGTATTTAACAAAAATTAAATATTTGAAAGTAAATACAAATCTGTATTTGAGCGTAAATATTTGTATTAAATTAAATGTTTGAAAGTAAAATACCCATAAAGAGTCAGTACTTTAAATAGGTAATGCGTATTTGCCAATAAACTATACCTCTTAAAGTTTATTAATTATTAATTGATTTGTAGTACTTTGTCATTCATTGGACATGTAATACAAAGGACAAATTTGATAAAAACTTTTAATTTCACTCCCTAAAATAATATTTTAATCGTTTGGACTGGATTTGCAAAGGATTAGTAACATCAGGGGAGGTCAGTGTAATTTTTCAAATCACAGGGGAGGTTAGTTGTCTCAACTTGCAAATATCTTTAGAAGGTTTGCATGAATTGACCATTAGATCTCTACTCTCAATCTTTTTTTTTTGGGTGTAATATCTATAAATACTATTATCAAATCATATCCACTTTATCATATGAACTGGAAGAAAATAACTTGGAAATTCGAAAGCTACAATTGTCTTACAACAAATTACGGTAAGAATTCATACATATTTTATATGAATTGGAACAAAATAACGTGGAATCTTGAAAGCTACAATCATCTTACATGGAAAAGGCAATTATCAATAACACCGCTCGACTCTGAAAGTTTCTTGCAGTTGTAAAATAAGATACCGTATATATCTTCAACCTTATTATTTGAAAAAAAAGATTTGTTGAACTAAAAAATGGACATGCTTTGGACACTGATCCGGACAAAATATAAAACAAAACTCTGATATAAACAAATATAATAAGTGGCGTATTCAGACTTTGATACCTGTTACTATTGAGTGTACGCATTCAACACAATTCAAGATTTGGTCCAACTAAAAGGATTATCACCTCCAATATTATTGAAGCATGTTATGAAGGCAGATAAACATAAAGTTGAAGAATGAACCCTTCGTTAAATTGGCACAAAGAGAAGTAAAAAATAGTGGGAAGAGTAGAAACAATAGGATTAAATTTGTTAAAAAAAAAAAGGAACCGAAATTTTATATATAAACCATGCATATGATCATAAATCAAAATTATTAAGCGGTAAATGTTTACTTAAAGAAAGAGTTATGTTGATTTAAACTAAACTGTTAGTTGATGCAAATGAGTGAATATATACATAATTGACCCCTTTCGCTTCAATAGGAATCAAAATTTTAGATGAGTAATTGTAAACATAATTAACACATTATTTGAAGAAATCAAAATTTGTGGTTGTGGATAATTAATCACAATCATAATTAACATAGTGAATTTGATTCACAAACATAATTATATAGTTGACATAATGACTTTTAAGCCAGTATTGAAAGTCAATCTGGAGTCTAATTTACATTTTGCAATAGCAGTTTTTCGATTCTAATTTAATTAAGACTATTACAATTGTTTGATCTTTATTGTAAACGAAATTAAACTTATATTCGTTAATTATCATCGATTTTAATCTCAACTTTTGATTGAGTGACAACATCTTATCTTAACACATGTATTGAACATATCCAATCTCTCTTTCAATTTCAAGTTCACTATGTCAATTACAATTTTTGCTCATATTCAAAAGAACAATTTATGTTCTCCCTCAAACATATATTCAAGTCCTCTATGTCAATTATGTTTATAATTAGGCACCGACAAATTTAGTTTTGTTTTTAAAATAAAATTTTCAATTATATTTGTGATTACTCATCTATAATATCAATTCTGATTTCAAAGCTATGAAATGAACTGTGATTGTCATATATCTTGTAGAACCATAATTATAGGAGTACAATGCCAATTATAATTAGAGAGTTTTTGGTGTCCAATTTAATATTGCTACTTATAGGAGTATAATGCTAATTATAATTTCACTAATGAGTATAAAGGCCCTCGTCTGGTTGGGTGGTGAATCGTTCAGCCCCCTCCAAATTCCCCATTGACTCTCTTGAGTCTACCCCTTTCTCTTGGTATAGAGTAGAAGTAGATGTGAAATAAAATTTATTATGTCTAGAAAAAAAATTAACATGGTTTCATTGTATGTTAAGCATCTTGGAAAACTATGAGGTGGTGCTCATAATTGTGTTAATCATTCAAATTTTGAAAATTGAAATCAATGTAATCGCACAAAATTCTAGAAATATATAGCTTTGCACAATCCAAAAACATATATGAATATGAGTAAATGTAAGCTAGAAGTGCAATAAATTTTGGCAAAAAGCACAATGGTGAAATGTAATATCAAGACCAAAAGGCATTATGAATGAATTTTTCAAATAGGGATGAGGCGTGTATGGAGATAATTAAGCCGATTATAAAGCAGGTAGTAAATAGTGTAATAAATAAAATTGTGCTGTGTAATGTTCAAAAAGTTTAAAGTCTTCCTATCTCCATTCCAAAATATGCACGATAAAGTAAATGTGAATGAATGATATATAAATTCGGTCAGAGGGCAAAAGATGAAAATTTATGTGTAAAGGAAAGTTCGAAATAAATGATTGTCCCAAAATGGGAAAAGTAGGGATTTCGTGCTAGAATTGGTTACTTGTCTATATTAAAGCTGGTAGTAAATAAATTTTTAAAGACCATGAGTTAATAAGGGAGTGAAAAAAG